GGCGGCGCCGCAGGTAGATGTAGAGCAGCACGAGCGCGACGACGAATAGGAACGCCACCACCACTCCCGCCGCGATCCCCACGTACAACGCGATGCTATTGGTGGACGAGGAAGAGGAGGAGGAGTCGGCGGAGGGGGAGGAGTCAGGGGGAGGGGAGGAAGCGGAAGAGGAACCGTCCAGCGACGCCGTGCTGCTGCCGGTACTGCTGCCAGTGCTGCTGCTGCCATTGCTGTCGGTACTGCTGCTATTACGAGTACCACCGTCGTTGCTGCTGCTACCACTATCAAGGCCCGGATTCTCCGGCGTAGCTTCCGTCGCCGGCGTTTTCGCTCCGGTTCCGTCGGCTACAGGGGCCGGCGGAGGGGTGACAGCGTTACCCGAAGGTGCTGACACGGATAACGGGGGTGGCGATGGGGAGCGGCTTATAACGGGGACAGGGCCACCGGTGGATTCGTCTGTAGGCGGCTCTACAGGAACGGCGGGAAGTCGCACTTTATCCGAATTGTTTTTGGCCGGAAATTTTCCAACCGGCGGCTTGACAGCCGGCGGTTCAGCAGCCGGCAACGGCTTGACGGCAGGCAGTTTGGCAGCCGGTAACGGCTTGACGGCAGGCGGCTTGGCAGCCGGCGATGGCTTAGCGATAGGAGGCTCGGCAGCAGGCGGCTCGGCTGGGGAATCTTTCGCCTTCCCCGTCTGCTTCCCTCGACCCTTCTTCCCGCGGCCTTTCTTTCCTCGGCGCTTTTTCCCTCCTTTCTTAATCGGCTCCGGATTTCCCGGCGCCGGCGCTTCCGGCTGCGGTATTATCGAGATGGGGTCGGACGTCAGCGGGGGAGACGCGCCAGCGGTAAGGTTCGTGGAAGGTGCGACCTCGAACGGGTTTCCTGACACGTCGAGTGACTCTAACGCGGTCAGGCGGCTGAGCGACGCGGGAAGCACGCCGGTGAAGCCATTGTTCCGCAGATCGCTGCGGGATTTGGGGGAATGCGGTGGTCATGATTCAGGGTGATTGGGAACAGGAAAGGAGGAACAGAGAAGATACCCTGCTTCTCTGTTTCTCCTTGTGCACCGCGGATAAGAGGTTACTAAAACCGTGGTGCACATTGGATCAAGTCATAGGAAGAGACGATACGCTTTCTGTCAACTAAGCATAAAGGCGGGTAATCGCTAGGCTGACCGCGAGAGAGAGACGGCAAAGCTGCCTCCGTTCGCGTTACAATTACACAATTTGTAATCGTTTCCTGCACCATATTCATTTTTGGTGGTGATCGATTATACGAAACAAGACGCTAAGATTGTCCTGTAGATTATCGCATCTAATGCTTACAGTTTCGTGAGCTCCACCAGGTCGCCGATGGCCTCGGGAATCTCCCCGCCCAGATTGCAGTTCGGCAGCTCACTGAAAGTGGCGGGATAACGGGGGGGTTGTGGGAGGAGGTTGGGGGGCAGAGGGGGGAGTGGGGGATGAGCGGATGGCGGAGGGATAGGGCAGCATCAGGGAAACAGAATTCTTCCAGTTAGAGAGTTTATCAGCATATCGAAGGAGCTTATATATCAAATAAGAAGTTGACGGCCCATGGTCCATGGCCCATGGGTGAGACGAGCGCGACGACTGCCCGCAGTTGACGCCGAATCACTCCTCCTTGCACGGTTCGAAGCCCTAACAGTCGATTGACTTTTTCAAATCAGAAGTCTTTACCGCAACCGAGATAGCTTACTCGTAAACCGAAGAAGCTTATTTGGCGAGCAGAAAGCTTACATGGCGACGACGGTCCATCGGTGAGAGGACCGCGACGACTGCCCGCAGTTGACGCCGAACCACTCCTTCTTGCACGGCTCGAAGCCCTCCCAGTCCGCCAGGGCCGACGCGTTGTTTACGGACAGCTTGAATACTTGCAGCGCGGATACTGCATTGGGTTAGGGGGGAAAGTCAAATTGGTGGGTGCGGGGATGGAAATGATGCAATAGATTCCTTGCCAGTCCGCCAGGGCCGGCGCGTTGCTCACCGATAGCTTGAAAAGCTCCAGCGCGGACACTGGTGGAGCACCGCGGGGGGTGGAAGAGAGGGGGGTGAGAAGAGGGGGGGGGAGGGGGGGGGTGAGAAGAGGGGGGGGGGGGGGAGGGGGGGTGAGAAGAGGGGGGGGGGGGGTTTGGGGAAAGGGAGGGCCGGAAGGAGAGGGTGGAATTCGGGTGTGGGGAAGGGGGGTGTGCGCTGCTGAAAGTTCGGATCAGACTATAGGTCTACCCTATCTCCGTATCATTTCGTCCTATCGTAATGCAGGCAAAAAAAACTAAATGATCGTTACCGCGCAACTTCTCAACCCATTAGCGGATGCTAAGATTCCTAACCGAACTTAGTACTTTCCAAGGCGGCGTCCCATCGAGGTATGAAGAACAAAAAACTCTACCAGAAACGTAGCTACTAAGCATTCCTATTACCACAACCTACCGTCTCCCATGACGGTCTTGGCTTGCGCTCCCGAGCACCACTGCGACGCCGCGACCAAAAGCAGCCAGATCAGACGCGCTCTTTGAAACCCCATGGCTCGTCTCCGTTGCCTCATTCCGAGGTTGTCTCCACTGTTCTCCAACGCAACCACTCTTTTTCTCGACGGCTCTCGTCAATGCCTTAGACGTTAGATACTCAATAGCCTGCTTGCCTATATACCCGGTCCTTATAACCCTCCTGCTTGCCTGTACTTCGTACTACAGTAAGAGGTTCGGAAAACTCCCTTTCAGGATTGCTTTGCTTTTTTGTAACCCTCGAGAAAATGGAGCTCCTGCAGACGGGAACGAGCTAGCAGGCGCCTCAGAAAACTGATGTTGCTATGCTGAGAACGAGTTAAATCGAGAAATGATGGGGTGGAAATAACGTTCTAGGATCACCTGAGGCCGGAGGGAAAATGGTGGACAACTGATTCTGCTATGCTGAGAGGTATGAGAGGGATGAGAGGGATGAGAGGGATGAGAGGGATGAGAGGGATGAGAGGGATGAGAGGGATGAGAGGGATGAGAGGTATGACGAAGCGCACGACGACCGAAGTCGAGGCTGGTAGTCGTCCAAATCAGGGCGGAGCCTACCCGAGGGCGGATTAGTGTGCCAGGACCTAAAGCCCTTGCTTTCGTCGATCTGTTCGTGCACTATGCTGATTGGAAGAACCGCGCGTATCACGGGAGACAACGGCTAGTAACGAACGAGAGGGGGACTAGTATCACTGGCTATCGAGACTTACCTGTCGCAGTTCGCGAAGGCCTGAATTATGTCGTGCGAAGGTGACTTTAGAGTCGACTCCAAAATCGCGCTAGGTCAAGTCGTGGGGAGGTCTAAGGCACGAGGCCTGGAGGACGAGAGTCGACGCCTACGTGACCGCACGCTACGAAGCTACGCGCATCAATCGTACGACCTAAATATCGCTCGCCTCATACAATCCGCCCACTACGAGCCAAAAAAGCGTGCCGTGCTGTGGAGTCACCCTACAAAAGGAGACGTGCTACCAAAGCGATGGTCGCTTTTTAGCTCCACGGCTCCATTTCCGTGTTCTAGCTTTTGACCCAAAAGCAGTGTCTGTAGCTACGGAGTCGTAACCGTAGATCCGATGTTACAGGTTCTGAGTCGAAGTGTTACGCATGATCCGACGGCTGGCAAGGAAGCCAGCGACCTTGGCTTTTGCCCCAGAAAGATTGAGGCATGGGAATTGGGGATGGAAAACCTTCAGTGGGGAAAACCTTCTGAAGATCACCACCCGCACCCACTCCCCGCTTCTCCCTGTTCAGGAGATCCCCCCCCATGCAGGAATCCCCAGGGGTCTACTACTTCACCTGGGATTTCTGGCTGCTTCTCCAGCTGTGCCTGGCCAGTGCTTGCTGTACAGTGCTGCCGGGAGGCTGCCGCGACGCGATGTTTTGGTGCTGGACTTGGCGACACGCACCGAGTCGCGTGCAGTGAAAGTGGTGTGAGGAGTGGGATCACGGCCCAGATGGTGCGACGTGAGTGTCTGACGGCTGGGATTGATTTATTCCGAAAATGTTTGTCAGATGGTGCCGCACGAAGGATGATCCTGTGCGCTCATTGTCAGTAGGATTTCACAAGTGGAAGAAAGCGGTTCGTTCCAAGATCTCAAGGTTTGGGAAATCTCGTTATAGATGGCATGCTGTGAGCCTCAGCCATCAGATATGTAAGCTTGTAATTTATGTCACGAGATCTTCTATATAAAGCATAACTGATTTAGGTCATAATTCATCATATCAATCATTCGCATCATTTAATAGCACAAATATATTTAAATATGTTTTATTCATTCAATATGTTTATGTCAATCATGTGATACATGACTGGGCGGTATAGTGATGGAGAAGTGCACTTCTACTCCATGCTCGGGTCCTATTGTGTTTCTATTGAAGCTGCTCCTGCACAGTTTTGCTGATATTTGACGTCAGCCATCCCGCTGGAAATTCTCCAAACGCGTGGCGGCGGGTCCCAAACTCCACGCATTTCGTGTGGCACACGGAAGGAGAACAGCGTCAGCTGTGTTTCGTCAGCGGTAACCAGAATTCCCGCGAGGGATCGCAATGAAATGCCTTAAAAAGTATAGGCGTGTTGCATACAAACTCGAGGCTCTGAGTCCAAAAATTGTTACCTTGACATCTAGCCCCTGGTAAGTGTAATAGGAATTGGCCGTAGAATATTGGGCCTGCATCATACAGATTTCTGCACCACTACTCCGAATGGAAGGGGCTAGTGAGGCACTTTTGTACTCCGCATCAGGTACTCCGGAAACTCCTGGTTACATTTGTAAACAGGCCTTCGGAGACAGTTGCCCATTTCACGGGCTGGGCGTTGTCCGCTTGTGTGCCACTGCGATCTCCTACGTGGTAACCAGTGGAAATGTTTTCGCAAAAACAGCCATTCTACATTCTCGATAATGTATGAGCCGTTACATGATACATTCTCAACTGCATCTGGTGTTCAGCTTCTCCAGCATCTCTCTCCCGTTCCTTCCTCCTGACCATCGGTTTTTCCATGGGGCCTTTCCTGCTCGCATGGTAGAGGTTCACCAGTTCGTTGTCACGAGTTCGTTTGCTGGCCATTCGGCTCGCTGACAGGGCGACTCGTCTAAAGCCTGGCCGACTGCCTCCGCTGGTGGTGTATACTCTAGACTCTGGAGCTTCTTCTGCTTTCGCCGAAACGGTCTGTTTTGGTTTTGCTAGAGGATCTTCTTTCCCTCCTAAAGCAAATCACAGGGTCAGAAGTTGAGATTCCTAAACCAGATCGCAGGGATCTAGGCCAGATCCTAACCCCTACGACCAGAGCGCGAGCGTTCATTGGAGCATTAACTCATTGCTTGCCTCTCGCTTCTGCCCTGAACGTTCAGCATCTAAAGTAGACCCGATCCGATCCGATCTGATCTGATCGGGATCGATCCGCTCGAATCTGCCAGCCATGGTGATCAGAAGCTCTATTCGTCGGCTAGCCCAATCAGCGGCTGCCGTGTCAGCCACGAGATCCGGTAGATCTGGAACCGCTACTGTGCTCGCCGCATCCGCCGCTTCCGTTGCCGCGATCGCAGCCGTAGATTCGCGCGTCGCAAGATCTGACGACTCCGCGGATCCCGCGGATCACCAGCACTTGGGCACAGTGGCTTCCGCTGGGTCGTTCTGGGGGAACATGCTGGGCATCCGCGGGGGGGCTGGCGGGGCTGGCGGAGAGCACTCCGCGGATCATCCCCCCGCGCCCGCTCCTGCCCCCGCGACCCTTCCGCCCGGTGGATCTGGCGCGGATGCGGGGAAGGGAGGTGCGGGGGAGGCTGCACAGCGGCAGAGGAATGATAACCCAAACCCGCGGACGACGGCGGCGGGATTTGATCCCGAGGCCCTGGAGCGCGGCGCCAAGGCTCTGAGGGAGATTAACAAGTCCGCTAGCGCGAAGCAGGTGAGGTGTCAAACGTCTTGTGGGATGAACGAGTCTCGTAATGCAGCAAGCTTATGAGGGAGATCAACGCACATGTTTATGGGACGCGAAGGCTCTGAGGGAGATCAACAAGCCCGCTAGCGCTAAGCAAGTGGGTTGTCGAACGTCTTGTGAGATGAACGAGTCTCTTAACGCAACAAGTGTATTTTGGAGATCCAACACACATGTTTTTAGGGGCGCCAAGGCTCTGAGGGTTTTTAACAAGTCTGCTAGTGCTACGGATGTTGGATACCGCATGGCACGCGCTTCACATGGAGATTAACGTGTCTGGTAGCTCCCAGCTGAGGGTGCTGAGGGTGCTGAGGGCGCTGCTGGGGGTGCTGAGGGTGCTGCTGGGGGTGCTGAGGGTGCTGCTGGGGGTGCTGAGGGTGCTGCTGGGGGTGCTGAGGGTGCTGCTGGGGATGCTGAGGGTGCTGCTGGGGGTGCTGGGGGTGCTGAGGGTGTAAGTAGCCAGACCCCCTTTTCTGGGGCGCTTAGGGCAGGTTATCCCTTCGTTATTCCTCCCTGGAGGATCCCCTGCCCTAGAGGAGCTGCATTCCTTCCAGATCCGGAAGGGATAACCTGGGCAGGTTGTCCTTTCGTGCTTCCTCCCTTGCCCTTGCTTATCCGGCGCCCTCTCTAGAGGACCTGCGTACCTTCCAGATTCGACTTTTCAAGGCGCCTCAGAACAGTTTTGGAGCGACTCTAAACAGCAGCTGCATACCGCCCAGTTCCGTCCTACAAAGGGCGGGTGCCCAGTACCGCCCAGATTTTTTTACGGTCCTCCTAGCAGATCCAGACACGTGGTGCCAGTTCTTTATGCCTTCTTTGTTCCCATTCTTATCCCCCCGTTATCCTCCCGTTATCCCCCCCTTATCCCCATCGTGTCCCCCCTTATCCCCCCGTACCCCATCGTGTTCCCCTTTTTGCCCCCCTTGATCCCCCTGTCTCCCCCTTCCTCCCCCCAGCTGTTCAAGCTGAAGCGCAAGCAGGAGGACGTGCGCTTCCCCCGCATCTCCCCATGATTCCCCCCCTCCCCCCCCCCGCCCCTTCTCCCCTGGCAGCAGCAGGAGACGTGCTCTGCCTTCCCACTCATCTCCTCTCTCTGCCCCCCTCTTGCTCCCCGATTATTCCCTTATCCCTCCCCCCTCCCCCAAGTTTTCGACCTGCTGCGCAAGCAGGAGGACGTGCGCCTGGCGGAGGAGAAGTTCCGCATGGCGGAGTTGGAGGTGCACCGGCAGCAGCAGGAGACGCTGCTCCTCCTCTTATCCCTTAGTGAACCCCCGCTTGCCTCCTTTTGCCCCTTTTGCCCCTTTTTGCCCCATTTTGCCCCTTTTTTCCGTTTCCGTTTACGCCACAGGTGTTCGAGCTGATGCGCAAGCAGGAGGATGTGCGCCTGGCGGAGGAGAAATCCCGCATGGCGGAGCTGGAGGTGCACCGGCAGCAGCAGGAGACGGCGCGGCAGAAGCTGATGTACGAGGAGCAGCAGAAGCTGGTTCAGCAGCAGGCGCAGACCAAGGCGCAGCTGGCTCGTTATGAGGATGAATTGGCACGGAAAAGGATGCAGGTAAGGGGTAACGGGGGGGGGGGGCAGGGGACTGGGGTGCAGGGGACTGGGGTGCAGTGCATTGACATCAGGCAGAAGCTGACGTGCGAGGAGCAGCAGAAGCTGGCGCAGCAGCAGGCGCAGACGAAAGCGCAATTGGGTCGTTATGAGGACGAGCTCGCACGGACGAGGATGCAGGTGAGAAGGTCGGGAATGCAGGGGAGCAGGTGAGGAGGGTGGGGACTGGGGTGCGGGGGAACCGGCAGAAGCTGATGCACGAGGAGCAGCAGAAGCTGGCGCAGCAGCAGGCGCAGATCTAGGCGCAGCTGGCTCGGTATGGGGATGAGCTCGCACGCAAGAAGATGCAGAGGTGAGGGGGTGAAAGTGGAGTGCCGGCAAGTGTGGTTGGGGTGAAAACAGGGGCAGCAGCAGGCAGAAGGTGATGCTTGGGTGTGGAGCCGCAGGAGCTGTGATGTGTTCTGGTGTTTAGAATCGGCAGGGACAGAACGCGTGTGTGAGGAGCAGCAGAAGCTGTGAGGGCATGGCGCATGGGTGCGTTCAGAGGGTGCTGTGGCCAAGTGCTGAGCTGGTCAACATGCATCCCCTCCCCCCCCCACCTTTCCTCCCCCCCCCCCCCCCCCCCCATTTCCTCTCCTCTCCTCCGAAGAACCCAGAGCTGGTGAAGATGCAGCAGGAGTCAAGATTGCTCGTTACCTCCGATGTGCAGTGCGGTGCAGCGCGGTGGCTATGCAGGCAGGAGGAGTCGAGTGTGATACAGGAGCACCATTCTGACCTCTCTCATTCTGACCTCTATCATGCTGACCTCTTTTCACTCCCTGCTCAATTCCCCTTTTTCCGCCCCTGGCAGGCGGAGCATGAGGCGCAGAGGGCAAAGAATGCAGAGCTGGTGAAGATGCAGGAAGTGGCGAGGCAGAAAGCTCGTATCTACGTGCTCGTATACCATGTGTTTCCTCTCTCGTTGCCCTTCGTCCAAAACCCGACAGGCGGAGCACGAGGCGCAGCGAGCGCGGAACGCGGAGCTGGTAAAGATGCAGGAGGAGTCAAGCGTGAGGCAGGAGCAGATCCGACGGGCCACAGAGGAAGAGGTGGGTACATCTGACGGCTGAGAATCTTTTCTTTAAGGCATATGCACGTAAAAACAACTGAGAGGTCGGGAGTGAGGTGGGAGCAGATCCTACGGGCCACAGAGGACGAGGTGGGTGGAATGGACGCCTGAGATGAGCAGGAAGGTTGGAGCAGAGCTCAAGGGCTACAGGGGAAGAGGTGAGGCAGGAGCAGATTCCATAACAGAGAAAGAATCAGATCTTGCTGATCCGATCATATAACAGAGAAAGAATCAGATCTCGCTGATCCTGCTGCCGCTCACTGTGTACCTTCTTCTTCCTCACTTGGCCCCTGGGCCCCTCCTTTTCCCAAGCGAGTCAAAGCAGATCCAGCAGCAAAAGCGGCAGACAGAGCTGGAGATGCCAGCCATTGAGCGAGAGACGTTGAAGCAGAAGGCTCTGGCAGAGGCAGAGGCGAGGGCGCACGAGGCTCAGCGAGGCGAGGCTCAGCGAGGCGAGGACGTCAACAGGCGGCGGCTACTGCCCTCTCACTCGCCGCCTTGTCTGTTTGCTGCTGCTAACCTTGTTCCTTGGTCTCCCCCCGTTCCTCCCCCTCGCCCCGCCTCCTCCCCCCTCCTGATCCCCTCCTGATCCCCTGTCGTAAGCGCAGATCCAGCAGCAGAAGCGGCAGACAGAGCTGGAGATGGCAGCCATCGAGCGAGAAACGTTGAAGCAGAAGGCGCTGGCAGAGGCAGAGGCCCGGGCGCACGAGGCGAGGCTCAGCGAGGACGTGAACAGGCGGCTGCTGCTGGAGAAGAGTAAAGCGGAGACGGAGAAGTGGATCAGCGCTATCAACACGACCTTTGGACACATTGGGGGTGAGTGGCGAGGAAGGGAGGCAAGGGAGCGACGCAAGGGCGCATGAGGCGAGGTCGGGTGTGGGGAGTGGGTCGACGCTGAGTGGGGAAGTCAACAGGCGGCTGCTGCTGGAGAAGAGAAAAGCGGAGGCGGAGAAGTGGATCAGCGCTATCAACACCACCTTCGGGCACATTGGGGGTGACTGCTGTGGTCTTGGCTGAATGAGGATGCGAGGGGAAGGGGGTCAAGTCTGGATTAGGACGCGAACAGGCGGCTGCTGCTGGAAAAGAGCAAAGCCATGCGTGAGGAGTCTATTTTTGAGGCGCCTCAGAAGTGGACTCCTCAAGTGAGGATGCGAGGTGCATCCTCAAGTGAGGATGCGAGGTGCATCCTCAAGTGAGGATGCGAGGTGCATCCTCAAGTGAGGATGCGAGGTGCATCCTCAAGTGAGGATGCGAGGTGCATCCTCAAGTGAGGATGCGAGGTGCATCCTCAAGTGAGGATGCGAGGTGCATCCTCAAGTGAGGATGCGAGGTGCATCCTCAAGTGAGGATGCGAGGTGCATCCTCAAGTGAGGATGCGAGGTGCATCCTCAAGTGAGGATGCGAGGTGCATCCTCAAGTGAGGATGCGAGGTGCATCCTCAAGTGAGGATGCGAGGTGCATCCTCAAGTGAGGATGCGAGGTGCATCCTCAAGTGAGGATGCGAGGTGCATCCTCAAGTGAGGATGCGAGGTGCATCCTCAAGTGAGGATGCGAGGTGCATCCTCAAGTGAGGATGCGAGGTGCATCCTCAAGTGAGGATGCGAGGTGCATCCTCAAGTGAGGATGCGAGGTGCATCCTCAAGTGAGGATGCGAGGTGCATCCTCAAGTGAGGATGCGAGGTGCATCCTCAAGTGAGGATGCGAGGTGCATCCTCAAGTGAGGATGCGAGGTGCATCCTCAAGTGAGGATGCGAGGTGCATCCTCAAGTGAGGATGCGAGGTGCATCCTCAAGTGAGGATGCGAGGTGCATCCTCAAGTGAGGATGCGAGGTGCATCCTCAAGTGGGGAAGTGGGTCAAGCCTGGATTAGGATGTGAGGAGGCGAGTGCTGCTGGAGATGAGCTGAGCGGCGCCAGTGGGGGTGACGGCACTCTCAGCACCACTTCTGGGCTCATTGGGGGTGAGTCTAGGGTACTTTGAGATAAGGCCACCCCATGTCACACGTGGTATCAGAGCGCTGCTGCCAGACCAGACCAAGACGGTTGTGACGGTGGCTGCTGTGGCTGCTCACTTGTTGCGCTTGTACCCCCCTCCATTCCCCTGACCACCATCCGCACCCCCCCGGATGTCTCAGGTGGCATCAGAGCGCTTCTGACGGATCAGAACAAGATGGTTGTGACGGTGGCTGGAGTCACTGCGCTGGCAGCTGGCATCTACACCACCAGGTGCGCTACCACTGGCGTTTTGCAGGGGTACCTTGTCACCAACCGCTTGTTACAAGGTTACCAGGTACCGTCAGTCCAGCTTACGATCTTACAAAACAGGATGTTGATGATGGATGTTGATGATGGGTGTTGATGATGGATTTTGATGATGGATGTTGATGATGGATGTTGATGATGGATGGTGATGATGGATGGTGATGATGGATGGTGATGATGGATGGTGATGATGGATGGTGATGATGGATGTTGATGATGGATGTCGATGATGGATTTTGATGATGGATGTTGATGATGGATGTTGATGATGGATGGTGATGATGGATGGTGATGATGGATGGTGATGATGGATGGTGATGATGGATGGTGATGATGGATGTTGATGATGGATGTCGATGATGGATGTTGATGATGGATGTTGATGATGGATGGTGATGATGGATGGTGATGATGGATGTTGATCTTCCTCTCTCGCTGATGTGGCTGGAGAGACTGCACTGGGTGCTGGCATCTACACCACCAGTTGTGCTGGCATCTACACCACCAGTTGTGCTGGCATCTACACCACCAGTTGTGCTGGCATCTACACCACCAGTTGTGCTGGCATCTACACCACCAGTTGTGCTGGCATCTACACCACCAGTTGTGCTGGCATCTACACCACCAGTTGTGCTGGCATCTACACCACCAGTTGTGCTGGCATCTACACCACCAGTTGTGCTGGCATCTACACCACCAGTTGTGCTGGCATCTACACCACCAGTTGTGCTGGCATCTACACCACCAGTTGTGCTACCACCCTTTCTTCATGTCCCCGTTTGTAGGATGCAAGGTCATGCTACCATTTGGTACCATAAGTGAGTAAGTTTAGATAGCTAGGTACGATCAGTGCGCTGCAAGATGGTTGTGACGGTGGCTGGAGTCACCGCTCTAGCTGCTGGCATCTAAACGATAAGGTGAGGATTGTCTCTCTCCACCATGTCGTGCTGCAGTGTCGCATGCTGTAGTGTCGCGTGCTGCAGTGTCGCGTGCTGCAGTGTCGCGTGCTGCAGTGTCGCGTGCTGCAGTGTCGCGTGCTGCAGTGTCGCGTGCTGCAATGCCGCGTGCTGCAGTGTCGCGTGCTGCAGTGTCGGGTGCTGTCGGGTGCACCGTTTGTAGTACGGGGACATCAACAAAGGGTGCGCCAGTCCCTCAGTCCCTCTCACCCGTTGTCAGTATGCTGCAGTGCCAGCCTGCCAGGTCGCGAGGACTTTGAGATCCAACCCTCTCCATTGCCTCGACTCACGCTTTGTTTTTGCAGGGAGGGAGCAAGGGTGGTGTGGCACTACATTGATCGTCTCCTGGGGCAGCTGTCTCCTCAGGGGGTCCTCCAGAGGCCCATACCCTTGGTCCCGGGGGCTGATTCCCCTCTCCTTGACTTTCTATCCCTTCCCTTCCCTGCCCTGCCCTTCCCTGCCCTTCCATTCCCTGCCCTTCCCTTCCCTTCCCTTCCCTTCCCTGCCCTTCCCTGCCCTGCCCTTCCCTTGCCTTCCCTTTCCTTGTTGCAGGGAGGGTGCCCGTGTGGTGTGGCACTACATCGACCGCCTCTTGGGCCAGCCGTCTCTCGTTAGGGAGTCCTCCAGAGGGCCATACCCCTGGTCCCGGGGGCTGAGGCGCCTGTCCTCTGCGCTCGCTGCTCCCTTCTCCCGTGTTCCTAATGCTGCTGCTGGCGCCACAGCAACAGGTGGGTAAGAGAGGGACAGAGAGGGGTTATCAGTCGTCCAGAGGGCACTATCTCTGGTCGCAAGGGCTGAGGCGCCTGTCCTCTGCACTCGCTGCTCCCTTCTCACGTGTTCCTGCCGCTGCAGCTGGTGCCAGTGCGACAGGTGGGTAAGAGAGGGAGAGAGGGGGGTCATCAGTCGTCCAGAGGGCACTATCTCTGGTCGCAAGGGCTGAGGCGCCTCTCCTCTGCACTTGCTGCTCCGTTCCCCCGCGTTCCTGCGCGTTCCCCCACGTTCCTGCACCGCAGCCACCAGTGCTGGTGCTACAGGTGGGTGCTAGAGGGGAAGAGAGGGGCTATCAGTTCCAGAGGGCCCTACCCCTGGTCATTGGGGCTAAGGCGCCTCTCCTCTGCTCTTGTTGGTGGTTCTACACCCGTCGCTGCACCACCGCATTCGGCAGCTATGTGCTGCGACCTCCAGCACCAAGAAGCATGGATCCCGTGTCTCTGCCCCTCCTCTCACCGCTATCAACTCCTCTTCACCCCCTCCCCTTCCTCCCCTTGCAAATCTACTCCCTCTATCGCAGGAGCAGCAACAGCAGAAGCCGCAGCAGCAGGAGCAGGGGGGGCAGCAGCATCAGCGCTTATGAAATCCGGCAGAGGCTTTGGCGATGTGATTCTGCACCCGTCGCTGCACCACCGCATTCGGCAGCTGGCTGCTGCCACCGCCAACACCAAGAAGCATGGAGCCCCGTTCCGAAACATGCTCTTCTTTGGCCCTCCTGGGACCGGCAAAACCATGGCTGCCAAAGAGCTTGCCAGGCAATCGGTTAGTGTTCAAGCTACCAAGGAAGGCGCTCAGGGTTTCAGGTTGGTTTGGTTTGGTTTAGGGTTTAAGCAGTGGCTACTGATTTTTTAGTCGACTAAAAAATCAGCTACCAAGGAAGGCGTTCAGGGTTTCAGGTCAGTTTGGTTTAGTTTAGGGTATAAGCAATGGCTACTGCACCAGCCAACAACAAGCAGCATGGAGCCCCGTTCAGAAACATGCTCTTACTTGACCCTCCTGGCACCGCCAAGGCAATGGTTGCTTAGTAGCCCGCCAGGCAATCGGTTAGTGTTCATGCTACTAGGTGCTCAGGGTTCAGGGTTTTAGGTTAGGACAGGTAGCTGCTGGCACCACCAACACCAAGAGGCACGGCACCCCGTTCAGAAACATTCCCTTCTTTGGGCCACTGGGGTCAGGCAAAACTATGGTTGCTAAGAAGCAGTCAGTGAGTGCTGATAACCAATGTTGCTGCTCTCTTTCCCTCTCTCCTCCTCACAACCTCGCAGGGTCTGGACTACCATGCTCTCATGACAGGAGGAGACGCGGCCCCTTCAGGGCTGCAAGCGGTCACCAAGGCCCACCAGACTTTTGATTTGACTCTCTTGTCTCTATTGCTTCTCTCCCTCTCCTCACAACCTCGCAGGGTCTGGACTATGCTCTCATGACAGGAGGAGACGTGGCCCCCTTAGGCCCGCAAGCAGTGACGAAGATCCACCAGATGTTTGACTGGGCGGCACACACCCAGCGCGGGCTGCTGCTGTTCATCGACGAGGCGGACGCCTTTCTCTGCGAGTGAGTAGCGAGTGACCCTAAAACCCAGACCAAAAACCTTTCTGTGTGTAGTGTTTCGTGCATCTCTGCTCACCATCACGTTCATGCCTGCAAATGGGTGTGTGTAGCCGACCACCCACCACCCACCACCCACCACCCACCACCCACCACCCACAACCCACCACCCACCACCCACCACCCACCACCCACAACCCACCACCCACAACCCACCACCCATCACCCAACACCCAACACCTATTACCCATCCCTTTATTGACACCAGGCGCAACAAGATCACCATGAGCGAGGTGCAGCGCTCCGCCCTCAACGCCATGCTCTTCTGCACGAGCAACCAGTCACTTCCGTGTTTGACTCTGGAATGTTTTCCTCTGTGTGGATTTACCCCGTCAGGCGCAACAAGATCACCATGTCTGAAGCGCAGCGATCCGCCCTCAACGCCATGCTCTTCCGCACGGGCGACCAATCGCGCGACATCGTGCTCGTACTCGCTACAAACAGACCCGAGGATCTGGACAGCGCAGTCACCGACCGAATCGATGAAATGATGGAGTTTCCGTTACCCAGGGAAGAAGAACGGTTCCGCCTGCTCCAGCTGTACCTCCACCGCTACGTGACGAACTCGGGCGACGGCAGGAAGTGGTGGAAGCGCGGGGGAGGGGGGATCGCTGGAATTTTCCGGAAGCAGGAGCAGATTGAGGTGAAGGGGGTGTCAGAGGATGTGCTGAGGGACGCTGCAAGGAAGATGGAAGGGTTTTCGGGGCGTGAAATTGCCAAGTTTATGGCGAGTGTGCGCGGCGCAGTGTACGGGAGCAAGGAGAGTGTGCTGGACGCGCGGCTGTTCCTGGAGGTGGTGGACTATAAGGTGGCTGAGCACCAGCAGAGGCGGGAGCTGGCTGCAGGGAAGGGCAGGGAAGGAGAGGAGGGTGAAGGGAGTGGTGCAGAGGAAAAGCAACACACACATTAGTGAGTGTGTTAGTGAAGGGAACGTGGAAAGGAACGAGGAGGGCAGTTGTGTGGAGGAGCAACTAGCATAGCCACGGGCGGGATGATGGAAATGTGGTTCTGGAACGCTTTGGAAATTGACATGCCATGCATGACCTTACTGCAATGTCATCAGCAGATTTATCAGTTGAACACCTAAGTGGTGTTTGGTACTTGATCTGTGCTGGATCAATTGATTCTACATTGAACTAGTGCATTGCATTGCACTTCATTTGTGGGCATGATGTTTGTTTAGTGGGACCTTGTAGTAGTTGACCTGATTTGTGCCTGTTATGAATTATAGCTCAGAGGATAGCGCAGCATTTAATAAGGGGAACTTGATTACAATGTGTCGATACAAATGAGGGCATGGGGAATATGTAGGTGTGTTGACCAGGGTTGAATGTTGAGGTTGGAGCAGTCAAGGGCTCGAGAGTCTCGAGGGTGACGGGGGCGAAATGGGTTCGGAGCGACTCGGGATGAGCTTGGGGGCAGAATAGTTCGGCAGGGGCTGGTTTTGTGCTAGAACCGAGGGCCGAGCCTGCGGACGCGAAGTATTTGCGTGTACTCGCTGAAGCGAGCCCCAGTAAGGAATCGAAATTCCTTACAGTACCCTTCCCTCCAGTTATGAGTTGGTGTAACTGTGTAAACTTTCGCCTCATGCAAATGTTGCTGAGTTTTCGAGAAGTAACCCGTCGCTTCGAGATTTCGCCAGTCACTTACTGTTGAAATGCAGCCACTTGGGGAGTTCGTCACCCCGTGTTCTTTGGAACCACTGTACCGTAACGTCCAGGGCTGATACGGATGTTTCCCACCTGAGGTTATACCTGAGATGGAGGACCAGAGAAATCTGAAAGCGTACAGCTGCATCAGCGCCTCGAGGAATCGGCTACAGTACAGTGCCTTCAGAACCGAACAGAGCGCGGAGCTGCTTCCATCACCCTGCCCCCTCCCCCTCCTCCGCTTTCACCTGAGGAGAAATTGCCACCCTTAGTGGAGCATGGTGCAAGCGAGGAGTAATAAAAAAAAAGGGGTCGTAAGTCAAACCGTAACCACACTAAAAAATACGGTATTTCTCTCCACCGAATTATGCTGCTTTCAACCCCTTTCGAATTGGGACTTGGGGGGGTGATGATGAGTTCCACCATCCAGCGTCGTCACTACGACTACCTTCAGACAAATCCACAAGAGCAGACTGGACACATCCTGTACGTGTACTGCAACACCACCACCACCACCACCACCACCACCAGTCTGCACACTTGCTCACCGCCATCTCGCGTGACTATTCTCCCGTGAACACTAGTGTTGTTCAATACCTACGTCTAGTAATAATAACTGAAGCGGCGATTATTACAGACCAGTCCCGCAAGACACGCGTATCAACCCGACCTTTCACCGCACAACCTCGCCACCCTTTATCGAACCTAGGCTCCCCCGTTGCTTCTGAATCTGAGCCCCTACGTCTCGAGTCCGCGTATCGGTCCAGAGATCCATGGCTGCTCTCCGGTTAACGGCGGCCGTCCAGCTGCTGCTAGGTACGTGCACACGTCTGCGTCTTTAGTAGCGGGAGCGGCAGCCAATAGCTAGTAAGCACACGGCCACGGTAACGGCGGCCGTCCAGCTGCTGCTAGGTACGTGCGCAAGGCTGCGTCGTGGGTGGCGGAGTCATTCCAACAACGTCTTTAGCAGCTGTGGCGAAAGGGAGTACTTATTAGGCACAGTTATTACTCGTTGGTTACCGGTTGTTACCGGTTGTTTCCGTGGTTACTGCTTTCAGCACATGGCAGCCGTCGAGCTGCTGCCAGGTACGTGACCAAGGCTGCGTCTCTATAAGCGGTAGCGGAAGAGAACACTTATCCATAACACACGGCCGCAGATATTTATTAATGGCCGCTGTTTTAGTCGTAGATTTCAGCACGCGGCGGCCGTCCAACTGCTGCTCGGCAGGTTCCTTCTAAGCCGACTTAAAGTCCACAAGGCTGCGTCTTTAGGAGCGGTGGCGGAAGTCGAAACTTATTCGTGGCCGCTGTTTCAGTAGCAATAGGGTTCAGGTGACTTCTGAGTTGACTCAAAAGTCACATCGTTGTTTCAATTGTTGTAGGTTTCAGCACACAGCAGCAGTTTAGCTACCGCTCGGCGTGTGTTCAGGACTGCGACGTTATACGCGTTAGCGGGCAGAACTGATAACGAATCGTGGCCGCTGTTTCAGGATCTTCGGATATGAGCAAGAATGCGGAAACATAAGTACTCGGTTGAGTTACCCTAGAAGTTACCCTAGACGTTATCCGTGATACCCTTTCGATGGGTTTCCGGTGAAGTTACGAGCTGGTAACTGCTGTGTCGACTTCGTGCAAGTACCGGCGTTGTTTCGCACAGAAATCGCAAACTGCTAATTTGCTTCGCATAGAAACCGCAGCGTCATGTCGTCGAACTAGGAACTCGTCGAACTAGGAACTCGTCTGCTTAGTGACTTCCGCTTAGTGTCTCTGCAGCCGTTTATACCCTCTTTGTCTCCCAATCTCTGTCCCTCCCGGCATGCCTCCGCCTCTCCCCGCGTGCCTCGCTGCCGCAGTCGTCGCTGCTCTCGCCGCATTACCCACCACTTTACCCGCCGAGCTGCTGAGGCTCCCCACCGCGAGCTTAACGTTTCTTTCTCTCCCTCTCGCGGATAAGCTCGTTTTTTTATACTACATCTCTCAACCTCTCCCTCTCCTCACGTGCACGTGTCCCCTCCCTTCCCCCAGTTGCGACAATCCTCGCCTCATTACCTGCCGAGCCGCTAGCTGAGATTCCCCGCCGCGAGCTCAAAATACTTGATAACCTTCTCGGTAAGAGACGACTCGGTAAGAGACGGCTCGGTAAGAGACGGCTCGGTAAGAGACGGCTCGGTAAGAGACGGCTCGGTAAGAGACGGCTCGGTAAGAGACGGCTCGGTAAGAGACGGCTCGGTAAGAGACGGCTCGGTAAGAGACGGCTCGGTAAGAGACGGCTCGGTACGAGACGGCTTGGCAAGAGACGGCTCGGTACGACTCGGTAAGAGACGAATCGGTAAGAGACGACTCGGTAAGAGACGACTCGGTAAGAGACGACTCGGTAAGAGACGACTCGGTAAGAGACGACTCGGTAAGAGACGACTCGGTAAGAGACGACTCGGTAAGAGACGACTCGGTAAGAGACGACTCGGTAAGAGACGACTCGGTAAGAGACGACTCGGTAAGAGACGACTCGGTAAGAGACGATTCGGTAAGAGACGACTCGGTAAGAGACGACTCGGTAAGAGACGAATCGGTAAGAGACGATCAGACGAATATTTCCCTGTTCCTCCCTCGTCCCCCTCTCCCCCCCCCACCCCCCCCCCCCCACCCTCCTCTCCCCTTCTGGAAGCTCCTTTCTCTCCTGCGCTGTCTCCATCTTTCAACCTCTCTCCCTCCCTCCCCCTTAGCCCCTTCCCCCACCCTCCTCCCCCCCTCTGAAAGCTGCTTTCTCTCCTTCGCTGTCTCTAACTCCCAACTCCTCTCTCTTCCTGCCCTTTCCCCCTACCTGCTTGCCTCCGCAGGCCGCTATGTCCTCAGCGTCACAGGAACCAACGTCACCAACGCCGTCCTCACAGTCTACCTGCCCCCCGCACTCCTCATCTTGCCTTCTCTCTCTCTCTCTCCCGCTTCTCCCCTGACCTGCTCGTCTCGTCGCCTCCGCAGGCCGCTATTACCTCAGCGTCACCGGAACCAACGTCACAAGCGCCGTCCTCACCTTGAACGTCACGTAAGTCTCCTAGTGCGCGCATGTCGTACGTTGAGCCCAAGTGTTGTGTACGCGTATCCAAATGGCTATTCAAACGGTTATCACATGTCACATCTGGCTACTGTCACCAGGGCTGTCCTCTCTTCATCATCACCTTCTTTGCTGCCTTCCCCAACCGCCTTCCCCCTTCGCCCCTCTAATCCTTGTTCCTTCCCCTGCAGCAACCCCACCAAGGCCAAGACACTTGCAGCATACGTCATCACCTTCCAAGCAACCATCGAGATGGCCCCGAATTCTCTCACCGTCACAGACCCGCCGTCCTTCTTTATCGTCTTCCCCAACGGCCACCTCTACTATCTCAACGACGGCACCTCGTGGACGCTCAACCAGGAGTACGAGCAGGTCTGCTCCGATAACCCCGATTACCTTGCCGCCGCCGCTGCTGCTGCTGAAGCTGCTGCTGCCGCTGCTGCTGAAGCTGCCGCCGCTGCTGCTGCTGCAGGCACCAACAGCACTGACAGCACTGGCAGCACCGACAGCACCGGCGGCACCGACGCCACCGGCACCGACAGCGCTGGAAGCACCGACAGCACCGGTACTCCTGTTGTTTATACCGATGCTGACGGTAACGAGATTCCGGCCCAGATTTGCGTTGACAACCTGGTGAAGACGACCCACACCCTCGAGCCGTCGACGTTCACGGGACGCAGGAGCTACTTCAGCAAGAAGGACTACATGTTCATAGACTGGAACCAGCTCGGGTGCCCGGACGTCTACTTCCGGTTCGGAGTGCCGGTGCTGGGGCGTGCGTCGGGACTCCTGGCGAAGGTGGCCTAGGGTTTTCGAGACGAGTGGGGTCAACAGAGGGGGGGCAGATGAGTAGGAGCCTTCCGGTTGTGGAGATGATCGAAGCTTTCTTCTCAACAGGGTTGTAACATGTGCGGGTGTCAGGATTCCTTTGTTCTTTTGGGTGTTTGAGGGTTACGATACTACCATGGGGTGCAGTCTGCCGCACTCCCACCAATACCATGCTTTCTTCTGTAATGTACGGCAGTGTAGGCTGGCTGAAGGCTGCTGTCATTGTAATTTGTTTTGATTTTCAGTGGCTGTTGTAGAATACAGTTTTTGGGTTAATGGAATGTCCATGTCAATCACTTGCTGTTGGAGCAAAAGGCATGTGAGACAAATTGCACTACTATTTATTAAGTACCTAGTATGCTTTGTTGCACTAGCAAATCAAGGGTTGTTGTACGGTAGTAGTGGTATGTCAAACATATATTGTATGTTACTGTAGACTATATAGGGTTGTGCCTTAGGGAGTACAACCCATTAGGATATATACCCTTGTATGCCTTGTTTTAGTTAACACTTTTCACTTTAACATGGTATCATGAGTAGGTAGGTCCCCTTGTCAAAATTATATAGTGTGTTATATAATTTGTAGGCTTGGTAGGTAACTGAACCGTACTGTAGAGGGTACAAACCCCTCCTTGTATGCCTCTCTCTTCCTAGTCCAACCTCTTCTTTCTCGACA